CACCTACTTCCCTCAGCAAATACCTCTGAGCTGGGATGGGCTAGAATAGGGGAAAAAGACGAAGCTTTTACAAAGTAATCAGTTAAAACTGAAAAAAATATTAACAGGACTGTGGCATGGCCTTTATAACTTGGCTCCGGCCAGGGTGGTAGATCTGTGTGGTCGTCCTTCTGGGTGGGTCTGAGGCTGTGCTCAGAGGCACTCCCAGATAAGAGAGGAATGATGGACCTTCCCTCCCTCCTGAAGGTTGGCTGGGTGGCCTGGAAACTTCCCAGAACCCCTCTTCTGAGACTGAATTCTTGTTGCCAGATTCCATCGCAGGCCTGAAAGCCACTGATGGCTGCAGACTGGCACAGGTTGGCTCATTATTCACCGCCTGTGACTCCAACTGCAGAGAAGGAGCCACAGTGGGGGCAGGCACTCCCCAGGGAGCCTGACATTTCTGGAAACTGGGCTGGCTCCCTCTCTCCCTGTCCCACTGGCACAAGAAAGGGTGAAGGGGGCAGGGAGCGTGGGCTCGTTGTGTTTCACACCGAAGCTTTTGTGTTCAGTGCTACCATTGCTGCCAAGGGGCTGCAAACAGAGAAACCTGGGGTGGTGGTAAAGGAATATTCCCAGTGGGGAAACTGGAGAGCTTGTCTGACACGCATTTGTTAACCGAATTGATCTGATTACTCAGGACTTTTCTTAGCCAGTACTGGAGCAGAGAGGGGCTGCAGTTGCTTTTCATTCTATTTAATTTCTGTTTTCCAAGAATGAATATCAAGGGAGCAGCTTTGATTAAACAAGCCTTTAAAAAGGGGAGAGAATGCCAGGTTTTACAGAAAGCTTTACTGAGTCGTTGGCAAATGGCCACATGACACAATATTTTTAGTCTATGGATATTATCTCCTTTCTAAGTACAAAACTGCTATTCCCATTAACGTGAGCTTGTAGGTTCAGGGGTAAAGAAAATTGGTGCAGTGCTAAAAGAGAAACGTCAGGACTCCAGTAAATCAAACTTTTAATGAAATTACAAAGAAAATTTCCATATTCCTATGTCTAACTTTACCTTTTCAATTGGCTGCCCTTTGTCTTTTCTTCTTACTGAGAGTCTAGGCAGAACTGAGACTATTTCACAACCAAGTCTAGCATTACCAAATTAAAACAGAATTTAAAAAAGTATTTGGCAAGATGTTTTGTTGTTATTGGTGCTTTTTGTTTTAAATTTCCTTAGGGTGAGAATGCTGGTTTTGCTTAGGTAAGAGATGAACAAGAAGGAAACTTGAGTATGTAACATTAACAAATAGTTACTGAGCATCTATTATGTATTAGGTACTAGAATATAGCAGTAAATCAAATGAAGCCCTTTACCTCCTGGGGCTTCCATCCCAACCAGATGGTACTCGTTAACATGTACTGAGGGTTTACTATGTGCCAGGCACTGTTCTAGACTTCACATGGTAGCCCAAGGATGTGCCCTATTATTGTTACTCTTTGTTGAACACACAGCTGGAAGGTGGATGTGTGTTCAGACTCAGTAGTATGGCTCCAGGACTACCACACTGAACTCAGTGGCCCTGTTCTTGACTCATAGTCCAAATGGGTCAAAGAGTCTTCTTTCCCTATTCCATCATGTCCTATATTCATCCCTCATGGAAAACTTCTCCCACATCTTTGGACACCCCCGTAGTTGACCATAAGTATTTAGAGAGCAAGCCTGTCTATCATCTACGTATCCCAAGACTTACACTGTTTGGGGCCAATCAGAACTTGAGACCCATCTCTTAGAAGTGAGTGTTTCAGAACACGTGTGGAAAGGCACCCCAACTAAGTTGGTTAATGCGCCTCATGGGTCTCTAAAACCCTGCCATTTCATGACAGCCAGCACAGGCCAGAATGGAAGGATATGTGAGGATATGCCAGGACTCAGAGCTGCAACCTGTGCAGGCATTGCAGGCCTAGTCAGACTGCCCAGGCAGTGAGCTGGAGATTTGTGGGAGACTTGGAATTTAAACACACCTTTGCATATTGCCAGGGTGCTTGTACAGTATGGGAGATTCGGAAAAGGTTATTTCTTGTTATCACCCAGTTATTTCCTCTAAGTGGGTAGACTTACTAAGAAAGACTTAGTAAAATAAATCCCTAAAGTAGAATGCTGGACCATCATTAACCACCATGTTGTAAAATTAGATTTAGGAATATGAAGAAGTACTTAAACTATAAATGAGAAGAACAAGATATTATCATTTGGATTAGAACAACTCAGTTTTGGGGGTGGATATTTGTACAGAAAAGAGCAGAAGGTTATTCATGAAAATGATGAGCCTTTTACAGGTGACTAATATTGAGTTTCTTTTTTATACTTTTCTGTCTTTCCCAATTTTGGTATAAAAATATGTTCATTACACCTCAAGAGATGTTATTAGAAATAAGCACTATAAAATGGTTTTAAAACCTTATATTGGCCCCAAAGGAGATCTTTGATCTATTTTCTGTGTACTCTTTTTTCTATAGGAAGCTCAGCTGTGATCGTAACATAGCAAATGGCTGGGTTGCAAACCTTGGTTGGCATTTCCTTTGATTCTAGACTTCAGGAATTGTGGCTTTCGTTGCAAAACCACCACCGATTATCTGATGCAAAGATCTAAGGCCATGAAGATAGGCCATCCCTCATCCTAGCAGGAAATAATAAAACCTTCTAACCTCAAAGTCCTTTGGAACAAACGTACATGAACATGGAAGCCTCTAGCGTTGCTGTGGCCCGTCACATTTTACAGTGTCCATTATCATTAATCCTCACAGTAACATGGAGGAGTAGCTGGTGATATCATCTCTAAAGTACAGGCAAGACAGACACTTGTCCCAAATCCTGTGCTGAGAACCAGAACTTGAACCTAGCTCTTATGATCCAAATCCTTCACCTGCTTCATTAATTCCGGTAGCAAGGAAGCAAGCTTGATGAGCACCCCTGGAGGGTCCAGGGCTGGTCCTCTTCTGGGCTGGCCTTCGTGGGCTGTGTAGATGACCTGTGAGCTCTTGTCCAAGCAAGTGAACCCAGACAAGGGGTCATCAAGAGCTTGTTTGAGCCGGAAGCCAAGGTGGAAGACTGCATTGTGAAGACCTGGGAAGACTTGGCTAGTAGTCACAATCTGAGGCTAGATTTAATAGCCGATTTTCTATAAACCCCAATCAGTTTTTATTGTGACAGGAACTTTGTGCTGCTTTCCAGGAGGGACATAGCAGTTGGGAAGCAGGTTTGCAAGGCAAGTCTCTGCTACTTGAGCAGAAGTTCTTGTGCCATGTATTGAAAGCATATAGGCTAGTAAAAGTTGATCATGCAGCAACGGATGATCTGGATGGTGGGCTAGGAATAAAGGACAGTTTTACAAGGGACAGGGAAGGGACATCGTGACCAGATGTCAAGAGGCACTTGTGTCAGCAAAGTATATGATGTTATCACAGGCAGAGTTATCCCGAGACCACAGGGAAATAGTGACTTCAGATCAACAGCAGCCTCTGCGTCTCTGGGGCTGCCTCATGACATGAGCTATATTCCATGGGTAGTCAAGGAATGTTCTGCTGTGATTTGCAAATAGCAAGTAGGCCACAGTTGCCTATGAGTGGGCAGCTAGTAGCCAGCTCTTAGGAATCCACGAATTTTCAACATGGTCCAGTCCCTGCTATGTCTGATTCTCTGACATGCCATTCCCTGACATCCTTGCATTTCCTTGCCTTCATTTCACTGAATGATGTCTAGGAACACATTGCACCCACGATATCTTAAGTTCTTTTAAGGTCAGAGACCAGATCTTACTTACTTTAATATCATCCTATCACTAATGCATAGTAGCTATGTCTCTTGGTTAAAGTCAAGACAGAATCAAAGCCAGAAGCTGTCTGGGGAAGTGGAAGTGAAAATATAGTGAAAGGGAAAAAGAGGTTGGACTCAGGAGGATGCCTAAGCCGGGGGTTTATAATAGAAGCAGGTCCAATAATCACCTTTTCAGGATGTAACCATACAAAATCAGGGTCTCAGGTCAACAGATCCAGAAGTTTCTTGATTCAAGAGCCAGAAGCCTAAGAACTGCCTATTTTTGGCCTCATTCTGATGCATCAAGCATGTTTCATGTGTTGAGAATATAAAGTGGAACTGAGCTAACTTATCTAGGAGATAGGTGCATAGGTATGCTTAGTTATGTTCTTTTTTTCCCCCTCATTTTTTGTAGTATTTCCTGATTTCTCCCCCAAAGAGTTTCAGAATGTCTGCTAATGGTACCCTCATCTCCACAATGGAATTTGACTTTGAAGCAGGAAACAGAAGGTAGCCCCTGCTAATGTCCTTGCTTGAAGTGTAGTTTACCTGACGGTTGAGGGCAACATAAAGGAATGGGTGTGGTGTATCTTGAGACAGCTGAGGGCCATGAGTTGTTGGCTAACTTATCTGGAGCAGCAAGGCCTAAAGAGAAATAAGAATTATCTGGAAGCCCTCCCTTGCTGTCCAAAATCTTCATCTCCAGATAATAAGAACAGAGTATGAGGGAGGACCCCCAGGGCACGTAGAGGATTGCTCAGGTGCCAGTGTGGCTTGGGAGAGTCAGCCTTCAGAGCTGACGCCACAGTAAGGCAGCAGGGTACAGGCGAGCAGGCCTCTGAGGGGAGACACCAGGGGAGGCCGGATGTCTGGGTGACAAAGCATAGCCTCGTGGCCAACACAGGTTTGGCCCCTGTGAGAAACAGGGCTCATTACTTACACCACGGGAGCCTCAGTTTCCTTGGAGGGGGTGAGATAAGGGGGGTGGGAACAACAGAGAGTGGTACATGGCAGGCGTGAACTGCACTCCATCAGAAGGTGTCTGAGAAATAACTAGGTTGAGAAATGGCGGAGCAGGTTCTGCGAGGTGGGGAAAGGAGGGAGGAAGAGCAAGAGTGTACAGATGGGGTGGCCAGAAATGGGACAGACTCTTTCCTCTGGCAGCCCACTGTGTTTTGATCCTCTCACCTGGGATGTTTCCTGACAGTTACCATCTCCTCGTGGAAGTGAGAGATAGCCTAGGCCTCAAGGCCTCCACAGAGCTCCACGTGAACATTGTGAACATCAATGATGAAACCCCTCGTTTTACCAGGTGGGTGCTTGCTGCTATACACCCCATCACTCTTAGGTGACTGAGCTCTCCAGACACTGAATACAAAGCAGAGGGACGACCTGGAGCAGAGGTAAGAGACCCGAAGCTTCAGCGCCCTTTATCTGGATCTCTGGACTGCCATCCTCCCACTCTTGCTCCCATGCCTACTGCACCCCCCCTTTCACATGCATAATGAGATGGATATGGTGGGAAGAGGTGTGAGCTGATACCTGTGGTGTGCAGCTTGCATGGAAGATAAATAGAAGGCAGAATGCTTCTAGAATAAAGTGTTCAACAGCAGTAGCAGATTTCTAGCATCACTTCATTAGTCAAGACCCGATCAAGCTCTTGGAAAATCAACCTTACTCTGAGCAAGCACTTTTGTGGGTGCCTAATGCGGTGCCACTGCCAGGAGCCTAAAGTGTCTTCCTGCTATGGTGGATCCAGAAAGGGGGCTACCTGGTTTCATCTGGCAGCTCATACGTGCAGCACAGTGAAGAGCAAAAGTCAACCTCGTGGGAGAAGGCCTGGCAGCAGCCTGGACACAAAGGAGAAGCCTGAGCCTATCATAGATGGGGACACTGAGTTAGGAAATGACCCTGAGACAGCTTAGCTTACTGACTCACTGCCTGCTCGGGTCACTGAGGGGGCTCAGTGCCAGCTCCCAGGAAACTGGTAAAATCACCTGTCTGGGGGTTAGCTGCATTAATGGCTGTGAATAAATTCAGCTCAGGAGGCTCCATCACCAACAAAAAACTACACAAAACGCTTGCCAAAGTACTCTGAGATTGGGAGGTGTTGAGGCCACTGCTTTCCCAGACTACCCTGGCAAAGCCCACTATCACTGTGCAACTCCTGGATGTCAGTGGGGTGCACAGCCCAGCTGGTAGGTGTCAGTGTGGAGGAACAGCATTAGCCACACTCCCACACACACTGTTTCCCAGGCACGCCCGCTGCCAGGTTCTGCTCAGGAAGATGACACAGTGCATTTCTGCTGCTGGGCCCTGCAGGAGCACGGTCCAGGCAGTTTATAAATAGTTGTGACATCCCAGCCTGGATTCAGACTCAAGGATTGGCCTGCACAGCACTGCAGACTCATTAGTAATCCCAAAGGAAGGTGATGGCTGTGGCGCAATGCAAAGGCCTCCCCACCCCCACCCTCTGTGAGGCAGGTTTATGGATTGCAAAGAGGAAAATAAGTCCTACCCAGGAACATAACATGGGAACATAGCTGGTTTAAACTAAGTCTTCTAAAATAAAGAGAACATGACCCTGGCTGGTTGTTGGGGTCCCCAGAGGTAGGTCTGGAACTCTGGTTCTCATTATTGGCTTGAGAATTAAATCTGTTAGGCTCACCCCAGAGGGAATGACCTTTGTGATGGTCTAACCATTTTTAAAAACGAGTTGACTTTATTCTGTCCTCCATGGATATTGTAGGGATGGGTCTGCCAGAGCCCGGGTGTGGGCAGGGTGGCTGCCCTGATTTGGCCAAGGCTGCTCCATTACAGTCAGCTTAGTCCCTTAGTCATCCACTGTTTGAAAGAGTTTGCTTGTTTTTAAACAAGGATTTCAAGGTTCCCTTGAGCCATGATCCTCCTCCCCAGAGCTAGTCCTAAGCCTAACCAGAAGTTACTTAATTCAGGAATGGCAAAATTGGAGCCTCAAAGTGACTCAGTTATACTGAACTTGAACTAGAAAGGTAAGATGTAGAAACAACTCTCTTCTTTTGCTATTTGTTCAACTACTACAATTAATATAACCAAAGCAGTTATTATGTCTGTTGTTGGAAATTTCTCATCATTTTATCCCTGGTGGTGGTAAACCTTTGAGTGCTTTGTGGACTTGACGTGCACTTCAGGATTCTACTATTGTTAAAGCTGAGCATTTCTTATAAAAGTATCTGACTCACACTGACTGTCTGCATGGCAGTCACAGTGCTTGATATTTTTGCAGAGTTCTTAATTTCAGTGTTGGGCAGGGAGGTCTTGCTCTCCTCTGTTCACTTATTTTCAGTATGGCACCAGGCAGTGTAGACACACCTTATGCACTCTCTGAATAGTCACCCGAGATTCACACCCTTTCCCGAGTGTGGCCTCTGGTCCTTGTCTACATTTCACCGAGGCTCTGTGACCTTGTGTCATGGGGGAGAAGGGTGTAGTCATGTAAGGGGTATTAAAGATTTACATTCTTGGGGTGGTTGTAAGGCCCTTGGCTTCATTGTGCTTTGAATAGATTTTTTTAAAAAGATTTATTTATTTATTCATACAGAACTGGAGTATACAGGCCAGAGATGCGGAGGGTGAGAGGCTTCACCAGGGACAGAGTGGGGAGCAGAACAGGCAGATCTACGAAGTACACTGCTGAGGGGAGCA